CAAGCTCCACGACGTTTGCCAGCATTGATCGGCCCGGAAGGAAGCCCCTCTGGCCAGGCGATACCCAAGATCCGAGTGTGCACTCCCACCGGTGCTTGTACGACCCTGCCATGATTCTGTTCGACACATCGACGAGCGAGAGAGGCCTTGTGCCATCCGCAGTGTGCACTGCACCGAGATCCGGGTCGTGCTCGCTCGCCTTCTTCGGGATGCAGCAGAGGATGCCCAAGTTGAAGCCGTGGCTCCCCGAGCCCCCGTCTTCGTCCGCATATGCGGCCTGAATGTCTCCTGGGGCCGATGGCGCAGCTAGGGCCTGAGCGGCTTCGAAGAGGACCGTCACAGCCATCTCGCCCAGCCGCTTCCAGAGAGACGCTGCGATGCCGTCGGGGCCTGGAGCGCTGTCGCGCGAGCTGGCCAGTGCGATCCGGACATCTCGTCGACGGATTCGCCACAGTTGGGCGTTCGCTGGCATTTGCGTCACCGCCCCCGCCGCTGCGCCTTCCTGCAGCCACTCTGCGAGTCGCGTCTCGTCGACGTCCCGGGCCGTGAACACGCCGCCCCAGTGTCGCGCGAGTTCTGCCGCGATCTCCGGCGGGGCCGTGGCAATGCCTCCTGCAGCTGTCCGGACAGCCCGAAGGTGGTTGGATACCCCAGGCTTCAAGCGACGAATTTTACTTGCGATCGATTCTCTCCGCGCCGCCGCATCTTCATCCGACAGCCAAGCTGCAGAGCCCAACTCGTGGAGATCGTGCCGAACATCTTCCCGCGCCAGCCAGACAACAAGGTCTCGGAGAGTTTCCCGCGCCTCGGCGCTCCCGGAAAAAGCGCCGTCCAGATCGACAGTGGCACGGACAAGCGGCAACTCTTCAGCGGCCCGCTGGAGTGCAAGAGGCCTGCCTTCAGCGGCCCGCTGGAGTGCAACTCTTCAGCTGTGCGCTCTTAAAACAAGAGCGCGCGGCGCTAATTAATGCGAGAGGCTCCTTTTTTGAAAAGGAGCATCCTTGAAACTCTTGAAGGTTGTCTTCCACGAGTTTGCGCGGCGCCCTCGCGAGAACAAAAATTCTGCAACCCGCCCGCCTCCAGCCGGAAAAGATCCTGCAGATGCCCAGCACGATTGTGCGCGGCGCTGCGGCGAGAACTGACTCTTGAAAACACCCCACCCTCAATCCGCGACGCTCTAACACATTATTATGACCAATGTGCGCGGCGCTGAGGCGACAATCACATTTTGAGAACCGCCCGCCCTCCATCCGTGAAGCTGGTGCAACTTCGAAGCTTCAAGATTATGAATGGCAGGGAGGGCTCTGGCGAAACGCCCGGCATGCCCTTTCGACCAGCTTCGGGGTGCGACAGGGAGGAATCGTTCATAAAGAAAAAAATGAGGAGGATAACTAGAAGGACGAGGCGGAGGAGGAGGAAAACGAATAGGAGGAAGAGGAGGAGGAGGAGGAGGAGGAGGAGGAGGAGGAGGAGGAGAAAAACGAATAGGAGGAGGAGGAGGAGGAGGAGGTTTTGGAAGAGGAGGAGCAGGAGGCAAGGCGAGGCGCATGGTGGCCGAAGCAGCGCAGCAAGCGCATCACAGCGACAGGGCGTGAGCGAGCGCGGGAAGCCATGCTGGTGCCCAGCCCCGAAGGGCCGGCCACGGCGAGGCTCGGCAGCGCAGCGGAGAGCAAGGGACAGCGTTGTTTTTGCTGCTCTGTTTTTTCCTGAGTTCCTCGCTTCGTCTCTTCTGTTCCATGAGGGATGCAAAAAAAACGGCCCTACCCTGGGATACAAGTCTGTGATATGAAAACCTCCTGGGTCCTGGGAGCGCCCAAAGCCTAGAGAGCTGCCAGGACGCTGCACATCAAGCAGGGGATACCCTGTTAGCCCACAGGAGGTTCAGCGCACAGCGCCTCGTAAACCAGGGTAGGGGCGTTTCTTGCGCCCTTGATTCCAGTTCGACTACACGCAGAGGTGACCCCGGGTCAGGGTGACCTTTGGTGCGCGGCTTCTGGGGGGGCCGCGAGGGAAACCAAACACAAGCGCGCAAAGCGCTACTACCGCATCGCGTTCGGCGATCGGGGGGCCCATTGGGCCCGCACCAGAGGCCACTCCGGCGAAAGGCCACTCTTACGTCTAGCCGAGCAGTGGCGTCTACGCTCTGAACGGCGTCTCGTGTGACGTCCCCGGCTTGTCCGGCGGCCTGCAGTCTCACGTCGGGGGGCCAGTTGTGCGTCGGTCTTTTTTGCGTGAGAAAAAACAAAGACAACTATGCGAAACGAGTGCTGGCCGTCGAGGAGAGGGAGGCGCTTTCCCTAGGATTCCTCCACAGGCGACCGGCAGCCAACCAGAAACAATGCCGACCCTACGGTGAGGGCATTTGCTGTTCTCTCTTCGCGGCCGATGCCTTGTAAATTCGCACGCAAAACTAGGCCCGCGCACGGGCCGAAGCCGTCGCCGCCGGCGAGAGGCGAACCGCCGCCCCACGGGCTCTGGCCTCAGCCGCCGCCGCAAGGCCGTGCGACCTTGGCACCGCGCCCATGGGTGGCAGGAAGAGGCCAGCCACCCGCACGACTTCCACCCCCGCGGGCGGCGCCTCTCCTCGCTGGCGCCTGCTGGGCCGCTGCACATCGGCTCCAGCCTCACTGCCAGCGCTGGCCCAAGCCGCGGGCCTGCTAGCCTGGAACTCCAATCGTGGATTGGCTATGGATGTCGCCGCCGCCCTCATCAGGCAAGGAATCCTCCAGGGTCTGACGCCTCTTTGTGCACATTCCTTAACCAACGCTCGCACCGTATGCTCATACACCCCCAATCACCCCTGTCAAAAAAGCACTACAAAACACACTTTGCCTGCAAATTCAAAGCATGCGTAACAAATCCGATGCTGCCCCCCCCACCATCCCTCAAAAAACAATACACAAAGTACATTTTGGGGCAAAGTCGTGAATTATGTTCGTGAGGCCTTCGAGCACTTCGTATTGTTTTTCGAAAGAGCGGCGGGGGTGTCAGCATATCGCCTGCGATGCGCAGGGCCACCACCCCTCTCCAAAAACCGTGCAAGGTGCACCTCGCGGCTAAATCTGGAGTGTGCGAGGTCACCCCGCGATCACTGCCAGCTGGTTTTCGACGGGGACGGCGGGGGTGGTGGCGTGTGGCCTGCTGTGCGAAGGCCCCTCAGACACAGTGATGGGCATTGGCTTTCGACAAGGATGGTGGGGGCCGACATGTTTCCCGATGTGTGCTGTCACGTGCGCAGGCGCACCTGACACACTCTGCGTGTGCCCCGGATGTGGCGCACCTGGCCCGGCTGGAGTGTGCGGCACACCTGGCGCACGTGGAGCACGTGGCGCATATGGCGCACCAGGCGTGCCTGGCAAGCTCGGGCACCAGGGGGGCCTGGCGCGCGTTGCGCGCCAGGCACGCGTGGCGCACCTCGCCCCAGCGTCGCGCACATGGGGTCGGTTTTGGTTCCTAGTAGCTGCCCATGCTGAACATGCTGAGGCTCGGGTGCTACTGATGTGTTGGGAGGGCGGGTGGGAGTGAGCTAGACGCCTTGCTATCTAGGAGGATGTCTTGATCCCTCCACCCTACCCCCTCCCCTGGACCCTGGAAGACACGAGACGAATGCTGGCTGTCGAGGAGAGTGGGGTGCGTTCCCTAGGACCCCCCCCCACTTTCGCGTGACGCGAGGTCATTGTCGGACCCTCGATCCGCTGACCTGGAGAAGGTCGCCTTTCCAACATTCTCCAGCGCAAGCCGCGGTGCGCGAAGCGCGAACCGCGGTTACCTTCGCGCCCACTATAGGTTCCGGAAGGCTCTGTGCCTAGCGCGTGCCATGGCAGCGGTAGCAGGAGCACGATGAGCTGCAGGTGGAGGGCCGAATCGGCTGGTGATGCGGGGTGGGGGATGCGAGAGCAAGAGGAGGAGAACGAGGGAGGAGCAGGTATGAGGAATCGTCAGGAATCGTCAGATGAGGGACAGCGTACGTCCGAAGGGACGGGCCCGCGGGCCCGCTCAGAACAGGTACAACACCTGGTGCACCCGCCCGGGTACACGAACACGTAGATGCCGAACACGGACCTCATGTGGCTGGCGCTGGCACGGAGGCGTCGGGGGCGTCGATGCGCGCGGCAACGGCGTCGGGCAAGAAGCTCTTGGCGAGCTCGTGCATCATCTCCAACATGTAGACCACGTGGGCCGTGTCCGTAACGAGGCCCATGCCGTACTGGGGCTGCGCGTTGGTCTCGTCGGACGCCGCATGCGTCAGGAACTTCTCGATGTGGCCCTTCGCGTCCTGCATCGTGTGCTCGATCGCCACGCGCGCCGTGTCGAGGGTCTTGCTGATGTCCTGCAACTGCATCTGCAGGTCGGGGCTGGTGGCCTCGCCCTTGATGCCCTCGCTGAGCTCCGACTCGGAGGGCGTGGCACCGCCGTGCACGCCATCAGGGGCTCGGTGCCGTCGTGTCCGCTGTCGCCGCTTCGCCTCCTTGCCGTTCTTGGGGAGCGCGTCGGCGCCCTCGCCGAAGAGGGCGTGCTCCGCCATGTTGCGCTGCGCCTTCATCTCGCCATCGATGTTCGGCTTGGACTCGGCGTGCGCCGCGACCACCTTCGCGCGGAGCACGGGGGTGATGCGCTCCACTCGCGCCTGCACCTCCTCGTCCACGTCCTTCTCCTCCGCTATGGTGCTGGGCTCGTCGGCGCGAGCCGCACGCCACAGGGCCACCGCTGTTGCCGCCACGACTTGCCGTGAAGCGCCAGCACGCACGATCACAGAGAGGAGCGCCGCCGCCGTCGCGTCGGCCATGACCGTAGCCAGCTCGAGCCAACGCGCGGGCGGGGGGCGCAGGCGCGGCGAGCAGGCTCTGAGCCAAAATGGCTACGGAGGAGCAGGTATGAGGAGGCAGAGGAGGAGGAGGAGGAGGAGGAGGAGGAGGAGGAGGAGGAGCGGGGACGAGGAGCAGGAGCGGGGATGCAAAGGCGAGCGGAGCGAGAGCTGCAGCCGAGCGCCGAAGCTGCACCTCGGTGTTGCCGGGCCGCTTCATCTGCCTCGTCGCCTCGGCGATCGCCTCCCGCTCCAGGCTGTCGGACGGGGCGCGCCTCGGCCCGCGGAGAGGGCGGGGGGCATCCGATGAGAGAGGGGCAGCGTGGCGCGCACAAGGACACGGCCGGCCGAGCCATGGGACACGCACGCACAACACAACACAACGCAACGCAACGCAGCGCAACACAACACATGACAAGACATTATAACACACACACGTTCACACACACACACACTCACACACACACACACACACACACGCACACACACACACACACACACACACGCACGCACGCACGCGCGCGCACGCGCACACACACACACACACACACACGCACGCACGCACGCACGCACGCACGCACGCACGCACGCACACACACACACATACACACCCACATACACACCCACGCACCCACGCACCACGCACGCACCACGCACCCACGCACCCACGCACCACGCACCCACGCACCCACGCACCCACGCACCCACGCACCCACGCACCCACGCACCACGCACCACGCACCACGCACCCACGCACCCACGCACGCACCCACGCACCCACGCACCCACGCACCCACGCACCCACGCACCCACGCACCGCACCACGCACCACGCACCCACGCACCCACGCACCCACGCACCCACGCACCCACCCACGCACCCACGCACCACCACGCACCCACGCACCCACGCACCCACGCACCCACCCACCCCCCCACCCCCCACCCCCCACCCCCCCCCCGCCCCGCCCGCCCGCCCGCCCACCCACCACCCACCCACCCCCACCCACCACCCACCCCACACCCACACCCACACACACACACACACACACACACGCACACACAGTTGACACACTTGCACACACAGGCACTCACTGCTGCCTGGCACGCGAAGTGCATCACTCGCCAGACGTTTCCCCGTGCGCTCCCACGCCGTAGAAGCAGCTGCCGCGCAGGCGTTGGTGCAGGTGCAACGTGCTGCCCCCCATCAGGTCTCTCACCACCGCCGCCACCAATCAAGACTGAACACCCAACGGACAAAACGTGCAGACCCCAAGCGAACAAAACGTGAGCGGCGGACTGTATATCGCGGCAACAAGCAGGTGCACATCTGGAGCGTGGGCCATCAGCCTCTGACCCGTGAGCCTCGAACGCAGATTCTCGAGGGTGGCGCGGCGGAGCCGAGCTAGCGCGGGCTAGCTGGATGGTCGGCAAGCTAGGCTCGATGACATCCCTCGGGGTCGGTGTCCGTTGATAGGAGGAAAAGGGGAGAAAGAGAGGCGTGCCGAATCTTTCTGTTCTACTGCAGTGGCGTTGCCGCTGCAACGGCGCGGCGGCCAGGTTTCTACCCCTCCAGAACGACGCATTTGCGACGTTGCTGCGCGCAGGAAGCGTCTGGAAGCGGCGTTCGGGAGGGAGATCGACAATTTAGCGCCTCTGGCACGCGACCCCTGGAGCCCAAATGGTCCGCAACCACGAGCTCACAACAATACCGCAAGGTTGTCGGACCCCGGCCGGGCAGACGTCACCACGCCCTGCGCGAGGCTTGCGCGAACCGCCAGCGGGCAGCTTACCAGACGGCGTAACGCTCCAGACTCGGCGCGGCCAGGATGGGCGCAAGCAATCATACGGCCACGTCCTGAAGGATATGCCTGAAGTTTTCACCGCGTGCCTACCCAGAGCCACAACTCAAGCTACATCCCTCGGGGTCGGTGCCCGTTGATAGGAGGAGAGGGGAGGAAGAGAGGCGTGCCGAATCTCTCTGTTCTACAGCGGTGGTGTTGCCGCTGCAATGGCGCAGCGGCCAGGTTTCCACCATCCCGCGTGCCACTGCAGCCCAGGCGTGCTCGCCCCCCCTCGCCCCCGCCCGCGCTCGGGTGAGGTGGCCGCCGTGGCTGTGCTCGGCACCTGGCTACGCAAGGATGTGCTCGGCATCTGGGGTGTGAGGGCTTAAAAACTATGCGGGACGTGCCACCGCAAGCTCGCGGCGGCGATGGACCGCAGGTTGATTCTTTCAATGCGGGGTTCCCGGAAGTCTGGACTCCGGGACACCAGCTATTCATCCTGCGACGTTCTTTGACAGTCACGGGGCCCGACAGAAAGCCAACAAAAATCCTCCGCTTTGACTCCCTAAGAGCGTTTCGACAGGGCGTTCGCACGGTGGTAAAAAATGACCACCGAGGAGCCCCACAAGGGGGACGGGGAGCCCTAGGAGGTTTGGTCCGGCAACTGTTTCGCCTGCGACTTCCTCACAACCTATTCAGGAATCGTGCTCTCGCCTCAATGCCGGCTACATGTTTGGTCCAGACGGTCACGATCCCTGGTAGAAGCTTCACTGAAGTGCACATGGCCGTGCTCTCACCCCTGACCGACCTGGCTGCATCTTTCCTATAGGAGTCCTTGGGAAGATGTAGGAATGCGCGTCGTCTCTAGCCGACCTCCTACTCCTCGACCCGCCCCTGCTCCTTTGCTGCTGTCAGGGTGCTCTGTTGCTGGGGCTTAGCCTGACGGTGCCGGGCCCTGGGCGAGAGGCCCCGGCGAGAGGGCGACGAAGAACACCCGTCTTGTCTTTCCAGCATGTTGGGTTCCTGGGCCTCTCCCCTCCTCCTCCTTCCCGCAGACGACCGCCAGGGCCCAGACGGCCCTGGCGCTCGCCTAGCAGCTAGGGCCCTGATGGATTAAAGCATCACCATTATTTCATCTTCAATCCCACTCTGCTTTGAAGGGTTTAATTATCCATGGTTTTACATCACCTGTGGCTTGGTTTTTTGTCTGTATTATCGTTGTGCTCTGAAGACAATGAACGTCTTGATTTACTCCCTCCGTGGACAGCCGATCCGATCCCAAACATGCGATGTCCTGCTTGTTCCAGCATTCTCACTCCGCTTTTTGACGGTCCCGGGGCCCAGCGAAAGCCTCCAGAGGCCGAAAAACAGCGGGAACCTCCCGTCGTGATTTTTCCGGGACGCGAGCATGTCTGGGATCCCATCCTCTCCACTCTGGCGGGTGGTAGTGGGGGTGACCCGACAATGGGTGGTAAAGAGAAGGGCCCCAACGGAGCCCGTTAGGGCCCCTTCTGGCTCCAAAAGATGCCCTATGGGCCCCTCAAGGGCCCTTTCCTTCACCCCCCATTTCCGGGCCACCCCCAACCCCCAACCCCCGTCGCCATGATTTGTTCATAACGTCGACCCCTGGAGGTCTCGACCCGTTCCCCTGGACTCCGACTGGTTTTTCATCCTGAGTCGTTTTTTGACGGCCCCGAGGGCCAGGAAAGGCCACCAGAGGCTAAAAATAGCAAGAAACCTCCCTATCATGGGTTGTTCATTACCCGAGGGCATCTGGGAATACCACCCGCCCGACCCGCGGGGGCCCGACGAGCCCCGGGCTTCCCGCTGCCGCGCCCCGCCGCGCTGGCCTCTCGGGCCCCTCCCCCTCGGCCGCGGCCGGAGGGCTCCCGGCGGTCCCGGCGTCGGTCCTCGCCGCCAGCCCGCGCGGGCGCGGGCGCTCGCCATGAAGGGAACGGGTCCTGGGGGAAGCGGATCCTGAGGTTTCTCGCGGGCATTTTGGCTCGGGAGGAGGAGGAGGAGGAGGAGGAGGAGGTGGAGGAGGACGAGGAGGACGAGGAGGAGGACGAGGAGGAGGACGAGGAGGAGGAGGAAGCTGAGGTGCCAGATATGCTTGCGTGTATGCCTAAACCTGCGTGCCTAAGCCAGCTGGTCCCGAGGGAGCCTCGGGGGGTGTCCAGGGGAGGGCGGGGGCGTCCGAGAGGGTGGTCTGCAGACCATGGCCTTGAGGCATGTGCGCGGACGAGGAAGGGCCAGGGGAAGTCTTGAAAGAAGACGAGAGGGGGCCACGATCTCTGGGGAGCTCTCGTGGCCCTGGCCGTGACGTCCACCCACCGCCGGTCAACGCCCCGTTCTTGGCCGCCCTCGAGAAGCGGGTCCTGAGGGGTTTCGCCGGTTTTTTGGCCCGGAAGGAGTAGGAGGGGGAGGAGGATGAGGAGGAGGGAGAGGATGAGGATGAGGATGAGGATGAGGAGGATGATGAGGATGAGGATGAGGATGAGGATGAGGATGAGGAGGAGGAGGAGGAGGAGGAGAGGAGGAGACGACCGTGCAAAGAAGGGCTCGCTAAGAGGAGGAGGAGGAGGAGGAGGAGGAGGAGGAGGAGGAGAAAAGGAGGAGGAGGAGGAGGAGGAGGAGGACGTTGAAATGCGCTACAGGCATGCGAGTGCCTGAGCCCGCTGGTGCGCCCAGCTCCTTGGAAGCAACACCCTGTGAAGCAGTGGTCGCTAAAAGCGCCAATTGTGCGTGCTTCGCCGTTTTCGTGCTCCTGGGCCCTCCACGGGCCCCGGGACTGTCAGGAAACGACTCGGGATGAAGAACTGGGCCTGGAGGACGGCCCCAGGGTCGAGGACCCGTTTCCCACAGGGCCTTTTTCCTTCATGCTAAGGCGCGGGAGACAGGGGTCGGCTGGAGGGATGCTGTCGACGCTGTCGTCATCGCCGCCCCTCGCCCTCGTCCGAGCCACTCGTCGTCCTCGCCGCCCCCGCGCGGGGGCGGCTGTAGGGATGCTGTCGACGCTGTCGTTCTCGCCGCCCTCGCCCTCGTCCCTCGCCCTTGTCCGAGCCACTCGTCGTCCTCGCCGCCCCCGCCCGTGGACGCGCTCATCCGCGGCACCCTCATCAAGGTCGTCGTGCCTTCAGGGTGCTCCCGGCGAAGGGCCTCCCTGAGAGCGGGGGCGAAGAAGGACCGACGCTGTCGACGGATGCGACGGCGACGTCGACAAAGTCGACGACGGCGACGACGACGGATACGATGGCCGCGACGCCGAGGAGGGGGAGGGGGAGGAGGGAGGGTCGATGATCGAGGCTTTTCTGATTTTCGGCCCTGTTCGGCCGTGGGGAGGCCTCTCGGGGCCTCCAGCTGTTCCTGGCAACCTCTGGGAAAGCAAGACGACGAGGAGGAGGGAGACGGAGGAAAGGGAAGAAAGGCGGGGAAGGATTAGCGGGAAGCAGGAGGTGGAGGGGGAACATAGATGTGAGGGAGAACGGAGGGAGAAGGAGGAAGAGGAACATGAGCTTGAAAAGGAGGAGGACGTTGAAATGCGCTATGGGCATGTGGATGCGTAAAACCGCTGATGGGCAAGTTCCTCGGAGGAGCCAACTACCCTGCGAAGCAGTGGTCGCTGAAAGCGCCTATCGCAATTGAAACATCAAGGGCAAGGAACATGCATCGAGCTACACACTGGGGGCTGCAAGGGTTCCCCGCAGGCCAGCATGGTCACCTCCACTCACCCCGCCCCGCCGTCAGCGTGCGGTTTGCCACGGGTGTTGCGGCCTGCGGCCTGATCGAGAGAGGAGGGAGGGTGCCATCCAAACCCTCTGGGCTCCCAAGTGCCGCCGCCTGCTGGCTGCCCACGCAGAACTCAAATCAACGGTTCGTCGACCGCCCTCGACAACGCCGTGAACAAAAGCACAATCCCCAGCGGTGTGCAGCGCGTTTCCACACCGCCCGGGCTGGACCGCTGCGCGAGGGCTCCTTTGCCTCACACGGCCCGTCAAAAGCTGGTCGTGTTTTTCGCCGCGTCGGGATACCGAACAGGAGGCGAAGAAGGAAGCGGAAGCCTTCCACTTTCCTCTTCCTTCTCCCGCTGGAAAGGGAAGGAACATGAGGAAGAAAGATGACGGACCGGTTCGTGAAACGAGGCGCGGTCCTTGCCACAACACACCGTGTCTCTGATGGCCGAGGCTCATACCTCTATGTGAGGCAACTGCGTCGGGGAAGACGAGTCTGGAGGGTCCGAAGGAGGGGGACAAGGAACGAACGAGTTGAATGGGAGCACCGACGAAGGCAGAGCAGACACGCCACTTGGACAAAAGAGCTGGTGGTGCTCGTGAGCCCGGGGCATGAAGGAGGCGGAGGACCGGAATCAGCCCAGGATGCAGCAACGACTCTGCCGCACACCCTCCCGCCCCAGGCTCCGTCCTCAAAAGTCCGCGCGTACAAGCCGTCCTCTGGCCATAGGAAGAAGCGCCCCCCATTCAGGGACAAGCGCCCCCTGGGCCTGCTATTGCTATTCAAACGGGAGCCCTGTCTTGAAAACTGCCTAGCGGGCCTCAAAGAGTGAGACAAAGTATGATCGCACGGCCCCGGCAAAGCCCCCCAGTAGCAGCCACGGTGGAAAGGCGGATCCCGTGCGCATCTGAATGCAGTGCTTCACCAAAGATCGTGGCCGCCCGGACTATACACGTAGCCGGCACTGAGGCGAGAACACGATTCCTGGGTCAGGTGTGAAGAGGTCTCTAGTGAAACGGTTGCTGGCACTTGGCGGGCTCGGGCTCCCCGTCACCCCTGCGGAGCTCTCCTGAAGCTCTTTTGCTGAACAAGCAAAAAACGATCAGAACCCTCCAGCGAGACGCTCGCAAGGACAAATCCCACCAGCCCTCTGGGCGTATGTGGTCTAACGATATCTTTCTTCTCTCTTCTAAACGCCCCCCTTCCCCTTCGGGAAAGGGTCTACCCCTCCCCCTACCCGCTCCCCTTGACCTGGACAGGGAGGGGCCAGAGGTGTCAGAGCGCCCAAGATAGCCCAAGATGACTCCACGAGGGCCTGAGAGAGCCCAAGATGGCCTTCAAGATCGCTCAAGATAGCCCAAGATGGCTCAAATAGCTAACAGCATTTCTCCAAGAGGCCCCAAGAGAGCCACAAGACGGATCCAGGTGCTTTGGAGATCCCTCAGGAACTCCCCGAGAAGCCAAAACCCTTTACAAACCTCAGGAGCATCAAAATTAGTTATCTTCTTGCCTGTTCGCTTCCGATGCGGTTTTGAAGCCTCATGATGGCCCCAATATGGCCCAAGAGAGCTCCAAGATGGGCCCAATAAGCCCCCAAGACGGCCGCAAGCGGCCCAAGAGCGCCCCAAGAGTGCCCCAAGAGTGCCCCAAGAGGGCCCCAAGAGGGCCCCAAGAGGCGATTCCGGTGGCTCTTGGTGGAGGGGCTACATACGGGACCCCCCCCCCCCTTTTGATCGATGGCTTCCAAGATGGCCCCAAGAGGCCCTTCAGGGCTTCCAAAAGGCCCCGAAGAGAGTCCCTAGAGAGCCCCACGAAGGCCCCAAGAGGGCCCCAAGAAAGCCTTAAGAGTGCCCCAGGGGGCGACTTTTAGGGCTCTTGGAGGGGGGCTATTCTGGTTGTCCCTCCTCATTTTTCCCTTCCCCCTCGTCTATCCTCTCCGTCTCCTCCTCTGATTCCTCCTCCATCCCCCACCTCTGGGGTACGACGGCTTCCCAGCTTTTGCTCTACTGCATGCTCCTCCACATCCCTGATCGGGACAACTCGCCTGGACATCGTTTCTGGATGGGCTGGTTGGTTTGTTTGCCGCTACCGCAGGCGAAGGCGCCGGCGGCGTCACAGGTCGGCTCGGGCTATGAGCAGAACGAATTGCCCAGCGCGCGCGCGCAGGCAACAGCTAAGCCTACCGCCGGGGGAAGCTGGGCTGCGCCGAGGGCAGGGGCTGCCAGAGCTGCCCTGGGCTGCCAGGAGGCTGTGCAGGCGTGTGGGCACCCCAAGGAAAAGACCACCGAGATGAGCGAATTAGACCTTGTCGCATCCAGGCGCCAGAGGTCGACGCGCCACAAAGTGGCGAAGCGCGGGGCTGCATAAACAGTCCAGGCTGGTGGGGTTACTTTTTTTAATCTGCGGCTCCAAGGACGATTCCAGAGAGCGAGAGAAACAAGTTTGGGGCAACAAGCAAGATAATTGCCAGCGGGGCAAAAGCCAACGCCGGAATGCACATGCGAGGAACAAAATGAACCTCATTAAGCCGAAGCAAAAGCGCAGCCGACGACTGACAGCGGGGCGTCGCACAATGGCGCCAGCGCCCGACAGCCCGGACGGCGAAGGGCAGGGCACAGCGGGCAGCTGAAACCCTGGCAGAAGCCCGCCCGTGAAAGTACAACGAAGGCGAGCAGAAAGGAGCACAGCCTCACTCACAAAGCACCTCATGTGCTCGAAGCTGGCATCACAGAACCAGGCGCCAGCGGACTTGGCGCGAAGTCGAGTAGAAACACCAATGCACAAGGGGGGAACGTCACGTGGGCCAGAACGTGACCATCAGCCGTCGGCTGTGAACTGCTGGTGGGCGAAAGACGGGGCGCCAGACCAGTGAGCACGTCCCTGCAAGACTGCGCCCCAGGTGCAGGAAGCTGGTGAGGGCCGACCTGCCAGTGCCACAATGAGCGCACCCTATTGCGTGAGAACGAACACGTCGAAGGGCCCGCCACTGCAGTCGTCGTGAAGGAAGAGGGGGGGGGCGCAGCCGATAGCCGCAAATCAGATGAATACAAAGGAGGAGGAGGAGGAGGAGGAGGAGGAGGAGGAGGAGGAGGAGGAGAGCCATGTGGCGACACAGACAGTCGAGGACCCAACAAGGCGTAGTCGGAATGCAACCAGCGGAAGGCGCCTGCCTGGTGGG